CTTTCTCCTCCCCTTTAGGGTGGAGTTGTATACTTTCCCGCTCCTCAGTCGTAGCACCTGTTTGCCATCAAGTTTATCCACTTCAATGCAAACAGACCAGCTGCTAGTGTTGCACCATTGAGCTACATACTGAGCCGAGAGGATAGAAACTAAGGCTACGTTCACACTGCAGGTCTTAATGCTCAGTTCCGATTTTTTTTGTCTGCTTATTCACACTACAAATAAAATGTGACAGCAAACGCGCTGAATCAAAGCGACCGCATGCGCAAAAAAAGACGTCACGCACAACGCGCTCTGTTTAGACCCAGATCAAACAGTATTGTTTGACTGATGGCCTTAATATAAAGACTTGTTTCGGACTTTAAGTTTCCCAATTTTACTTTAAGTTATAAAGTTATTTTGTTATTTACATATGGCCTAATGATGATCCTTATTGCTGTTTTAGAGAGGAGCAGGGCTTCAAAGAAAATGTTCACGTTTCTCCAATGCTGTCTTCCCAACATCTACGCTGGATGGCCAGGAAGCGTTCGCGATGTCTTCTCGGGCGCTGATAATTGGCGTCTGTCTCGTGTCAGTGACGTTTAAGATGGATTTAATGCGACATGACCATCAAACAGCAGTCGCTTTCTAAAACATCGGATATGTATCCGATTCAGTACCACATACCACGAAAGTGACCCAGATCAGATTTGAAAATATCGGATTTGTGCCGTTCACACTGTCATACCAAGATCGGATATGGGTCGCATAGGGTCAAAAAAGTCGGATTTGATGCGCTTTCGCCTGGTAGCCTAAGTATTGATATTTGGATCGTTCTGTCCACGTCTACACCTGCTAGTGGTAATCAGAAATAATTGTCTGTGTCCCTGTGTTACTTACCTTCATGCTTAGTTTTGTGTGTAAATGTAAAGGCTGTGAAACTTGACACCAGTCTCTGTTGGTTTTGCGTTTGGGTCCACCTTTGCTGACTGGCCTCACAGCCTTGACAGTGACTGCTGACATATTCAACTAAGAAGTGCATCTGCTCCCACAACTTAGACATTCACATTACTCACACTCTCATTACACATACATATAGGATCTTGGGGGTGGGCACGATACACGGAATCCAAAGTACCATCAGGGTGTACACCTCACCCCTGGCGTCGTTGCCCACCTCTCAATGTTAAATACACGTAGACATTGAGGGCTAGCAGGAGGGACTCATGCGCTTACCTGCTGCTCTCTGGCAGGTAGCTCCATGCCCTCCTGGGTTTTAAATGCACCTTAGAACACACATGCATCAACACTACAATGAGCGGGTGGAGGGAGGTTTGGAGTCTTCTCTCACCCCCATTCTCTGCGACCTGCTGGAGCGGGGGGGCTAGGAGGAGGAGTTGGCCGTCCGACTGCGGTCTGGAGTGTGGGGCCTCCCTGCTGCTGCGGAGTCGGGGCGGTCTGCCTCCCCCCACCGCAGGGAAAAGGGTAACACCACCTGGGTCTGGGTGCAGTTCCCCCCTCCAGGGGCAAGGGTACCTAGACCCGGGGCTTAGAGTACGCTTGGGGAGTGTGATCGTGTGTACAGCGTCTCTTTATGTCTGTCTCCACGTTGGTTGAGTGTGGAGTAAGTGCATATGAGAGCATGAGGGTGGGAATGGATGTTTGTATATGTGTGTGCCTGTATGTCTGTGTCTATATGTCAGGTTGGGTGTCAGGCGCCACCTCTCTGGGGACATCTCAGGCCCTCCAAGGTTTGGAGGCCTATCTCCCCCTACCACCACTTCCCCTGCCAGTGGCGGACTCCCTCAGGATCGGTGCGTTGGTGGTTCTTTGTGTCCGGGGATGGGCGTCCAGGTACACACCGGCTCACTCCTTGGCGGCCGCTTATCGGGGCCTGGAGCCTGGGGCTCGCTCGGGCCACTTCGGAGGTGGGGTGCCCCCGGCCTCTCGGCCTGGGGCTCGGTCACTCAGGCACGGCTGGCTGCCGGCGGAGCTCACGGGCGCGTCACTGCAACTCCCCCTGGCTTCTGCTCCGCGGCTGCTGAGTGAGCCCTCATCTGGGACTCTCCTCAGCTCTTTCTGGGACAGTGGCGCGGCTGCCCCTCTGTTGGTCTTCCTTGGTCTCTTGTGTTCTGGGGGCCTCTGGATGTCTGGAGTTTTGATCTCCTCCATACCTGCTTCATGCCCTGGAGGACGGGGCTGTGGCCCCCCCACACCCTCTAGCAGATCATTACATGAAGGAACCTTTTAAAAAAAAAAAACAAGCGCGTCCATGCTCACAGGTGTACACACGGGTGATCACACCCACAAACTACACCCTTTTTGGCTCCTACCTCAAAGCACACTGTTCTGTTGATCTTATGTGCTGCACAATAATGTTTAATATTTAGTATTTACTGTCATATTCCCATATATCATTGTGATGTTGTTTATTCTATTACTCTTGTTCTCTTCTGCTTGTTTTCTTTTTTCTTTCTCAGCAGGTGACCCAGGTGATCGATATATGCATTTTTTTTTTTCTTCTGCTCATTCTGTTGGTTTTTGTCTTTTGCCCTTCTCCCCCGTCCCTCTTCTCAGCTGTTTCTCTTTCCCTCTTTCTTTCTCCCCTTCTTTCCCCCAGTCAAGTCTGTCCCTATTCAGTAAGTGAAAATAAAATAAACAATAAAAGGTGAATCAAATGGACCATTACGGCAAGGCTGGGATGGTCAATTTGGTAAAGTAAATCCGTTGGGCATCTTTCTTTGCCTTTAGACAACAATTCTGATGGCAAAAGAGCCAAACGGGACAGGCAAAAAAAAAAAAAAAAAAGAAGTGCATCTGCTGCATCAGACTAGCTCAGTTTTGAATTACTGCTTGGCCTTGAAAATTCAGTTTTTTGTAGGTTTAGTGTAAAACAAAATTGTTTTACAGCAATGCAAAATAAAAAGCTTTAAAATGAATTTCCTTTTAAACAATCCACACACTTGCTTACCTTATAAAAAGGTTTGATATTAATATACATTGTTACTATTCATTCCTACAGGCAAAGGGCTGGCATTTTTAAAGCACTTTCAGTTTTGGGTTTAATTTTGTTGTTTTTTTGGCCTACTTGAGGTTTGACTTATTTCACATCTGTACATAGAGCCGACTTCTAATCATGGAGACCTCAGGAACCCTTTTCATATGAAGTAACATTGCTAAGACACAAGGCAACTTGGCAAAATATACATTTCTCATTCAACTTAAAGGAAGCAGTAAAACCTTCTTAATATAAGCAAGAAAAATATTTCCTGTTCTGCCCAAACACAGATTGTTAGACATGGTGCATGGACCTTAAAAAGGTGAACTTAGTTATCTGCAGGTAGTGGTGGCTGTAGCTCAGATGGTAGAGCAGGTCACCTACTAACTGGAAGGTTGGTGGTTTGATCCCAGTCTGCAGGCCAAGTATAGTGACCCCATGTTGCTCTCTGATGCATCCATCGGTGTGTGAATGTTAGACAAGAAGTGCGCAGAAAAAAAAAAAAAAAAGAAGTCCGTGGGTAAAGGTGCAAGTTGTGTAAAGGGCTTTGAGTGCTCAGAGTAGAAAAATGCTATTTAAGAACCAGTCCATTTAATAATTAGCCTTGGATGATACAAATCTGTAGATTGTATCAATATTGACAGTAACAGACTTTTGCTGTTGTTTTATTTTAGACTTTTAGAGAGTGTACCAGAGTGCTGAAGACCGAAGAGGACCAAGGATTTATCTGACATGAACTTCCTTCCCTTGTGTCTCGGCCAGTAGCTTAAAAAGATATGCTAATCTGACTGCACCCTATTTAAACTGAATGAGTACCAAATATAACACCAACTGTAACAGCAGGTCACATTTTTAAATACACACATATAAGAAAATTATTGATACATTTAGTTACAATTCATCAGTTTGGAGACTCTTCAGTGCAAATCAGTGGGGAGGAACTCTAACTGACAGGTGTGAGAACACAGGCCACTGTAGCTGTTCACTGCTGGGCTTGGCCTCTGCTAAGCCCAGCAGTGAGTTACTGAACTGGGCTGTTGGTACCTTGTGGAGCATGTTAACTGAATTATCCATGATGGATAACAGTTCCACTACCTCACAAGTGTCCAGTTGTCAGCCAGTCACAGAACCAGCCATCCTAATCAGTTTAATCAGTCTATTGGTGTTACCAGCTCTGATGCTGCTTCCCCAACAGACCACAGCAAAGTATACTTCCATCAGTCTGTCGCACTCACCACGTGTCTTTGTTTCTGCGTCTGTAAAGTTTATAGGTACTAGCCGAGCAAGCTACTGTTAGCTAATAACCTAGCATTTCACTCGTTGGAGTAAAAGTGGTTCTGGCTTAAATAACAAACAAAGCATACTAGCAAAAAGGTGTGACGTCCTGGAGAAACTAATACATAATGCAATAGTGGCTTTGTCCATCTTTTATATACAGTCTGTGTTTTCACATATATTACAAGATTGAAAGACGCAGTCTGTGACAGTGTAGCTGAGGACTCTTTCTTACTCAGCTTGCACATTTTAGTTTATTTCATATTCCAAGTTCTATTATATTAAGTATGTTTTCACTTCCCATTGATTTAGCTAAAGTTTTGTTTGTTTTTTGACACTTTGGCTTAGCAAATGTCTAACAATTCCTAAAATTTATAGTGCTCAGCTAAATAATTTGGAATTGTTGTAAAGATGTTTCTTTTGTTTGTTTTACAGATATTATAATACTTTCATAACATCATTTGTCTTTACAGGAAGTCAATTAGTTGAATGAGTTAGTAACTAATCACTGATGTCTGCTAATCCTGTCGTTGACATTTAAGCCAGAATATTCTAAACTACGGAATCTTTAGTGTCCAATTATATGTGAACACAGAAGGGTAGCGCTGTCTCATACGCAGTCATTTCAATAAAAATATAAACATTTTATAGTAATTTTCATGTAATATTCACTTTGTTAATTCAAAATGCATCTACAGGATCTCAGAGCCTTTTGTTCTGGACGGCACATAGAAAAGAAATGACACCATTTCCTGTGCATATGTGCTCTTTTTTTATTGCAATATCTGCATGTTGACATATATTTACACTCACACACGCACATACGCTCACGATGCCAATGGTCAAACAGAACAAGAACTTTTTACTTTGAAGCACTGAACACATGACATGAGAAAACAAACGTAGCAAATTAACCAGCAGCTTTCTACACTTCACATGCACAGACTGAAACGCACACGCACAATCCCATTCGACACTCCACGCACACACTCACACGCGCACGAGTTCCCACAAAGGACCACCAAGAGACGTAGTCAAGGTCTGGATGTTCAGAGTGCAGGATATATTTATAGATTTGTTTTTAACACTGATGATGCCAGAACTATAAGAGCTAAACTGAACTGTACTGTACACAACACAGACAGGCCGGCCATCAATCCAACATTTACTTTCACTATTACACTAATTTGGTAAAGTCAACATCTCCATAGCAACAGGGAAGAAGAGTGATACTGATACATTTTGAAGTAGTCTTAAGTTCATGATAATCTTCGTTATATCTATGTATACTATTTACAGAACATAAACATACTTTATATTTAAAGGGATTACATTTACACATGGAACATCATCTTTTTTAACTACTATTAAATATTCACTAAAAGCCTCTTTGTGATCACATCTTGATATTCAAAAGGCTTCGGCATTTTTGCATGTGCTCCGTTTGATACTGCTTGTGAGGATACACATAATAACAATAATTACCTGCAGCCAGACGAGAGGTATGCAACAAATACAACAAAGACTAGCTTAAAAACATAGATGACTTAAATTCTTAAATCTTCTTTTTTTCTTTTTATACACACAATTCACATAACACCACTTTTTTGTTACAATGATCTATTGTTTTTTTCAGGTTTTAGTTGTTTTTACAGATAATATTTTTTAACAGTACGACTTCCAGTGTTTTACTCTGATATGTGTACTTGATGATGAGAATGCCGAGTAGGAGGGAAGTGATTCTGTGGTATTGCCTACAGATACATGCCGAGTTATAGAGGAACCTGTTTGTTCCTCTCTTGGACCAGGTGTGTAGTTACATAGATAAATGCATCGATGGATTCGAGGAAGATCTCTTCTTTTCCTGCTCTTCTTCCTTATTTCTGGGTGGCGTGTCTATTGTCGTGTGTTTGGTTTGCTCCTCTGGTTGGCTCTACTCATAGAAGCTCCGATCACTACAAAAGGGAAGAGTGGGAAAAGAAAGCAAGCTGTCTTACAGGTTGGTTTCCATCCATCAACACACTTCCCATTTTAGACTGAACCGTTTTAGCAACCCCCACCATAACACTAGAGTCTTTGTTTGGTATGAGCAGGCTTTAACAGGGTAGTAAACAAGAAACTGTCAGTGAAAGATGGCGGTAGCGTACGCTCCTTTATCTTCTTTCTCAGCTTCCTTGTAAAGACTGTAATTTACAAAATAAACATCATAATGTATTCGATAAGCTGAGCTGATAAACCCAAGAGGACAGTGTTTACTGAGGTCATAGATTAAGTGACTTGGTTTCAACGTAACTTTATTCTTTCATGAGTTATTTACAAGTTTCTCTTTGTTCACAGCCATTGA